AAAGTATCAAGGCACTGTACACGGACAGAGGCGCCCGGGGATTTACGATATTGCGAAGGTGGATGAGGGTGAATAATGAGTTCTGTCTCGAGCCCTCGGAAACAATGGCCTCAAAGAGCATGCCTTCCAGTGGGCAGTCTGTCCTGTTTAGCGGAGGGTGAATATAGACTAACTTGTGGAAATGTTTGTGCAGGTACATTATTGATCACGATGTTTGCTTTTACTTTATTTGTTGTCAAGGATAAGAAACATTCAGCTGTTTAACAAGAATGCCCTGGGGAGGAGCTTTGTGGAGAGAAAAAAAATTACAGCAAAAATCATGAACCTGCAGACAGAGTAGCAAACACATTGAAGGAAAACAACATATACGTTATCATGAATAACCAAAAAACATTACGTGTAAAATATGCAGCATAGTGCTCCTTCATATGAGCTGTATTATAATAGTGCTGAGCCGGTGTCAAGTAATGTTAACACCAATATAATTACCGTATGGAATCTGTACAGAGCCATATCACAGGTAACGTGAGTTTCAACTTTTATGGGCATTTCTAAAATGAAACATAACCTAATACAAACTTTAATTATATAAATAATTAACAATTTTACTGTCATTTTTAAAGAGTCCCTAGCGATCTACGCTTGTATGGATATTTTTTACATGCCTGAGCATTTGCCCTTATGACTTTGAGATCGCTGATACCTGTTCCCATGGATGAGTCTAATACTCCACTCACAATGACGGAAAGGAACACAACTCACACAGCCATTGCAAGGCTTAGAGACACATTCGCAACTGGAGGATTGTAATTGCGTGATGTGGTAAAGTGGCTTCACGTGCCTGCCAGCACACACCTATTATATAATAGGTGGCCCACCAAAATATATCGTTGGAGAACGCTGGTGTAGACTATGTAACGGCTCTGGAATTGAGCATAAGGAAGGACAATGGTGACCCCTTGACTTCGGTCAACAAACAACATTTTAACACGTAGGCTTTCGCGACCAATATTATTAATAATAAAGGTTTTTGGGTTAGATCGCGTTATTTATAAATGTGTCGCAACCCTCCACCACCCGACACGGCCAATCAGTAAAAATTTGTCACGTTGACAATAGACAAATAGTTCACTACTTTAGCCCACCGGTGTGTTGAAGAGTGAATCCACAACATTTACAAAAAATGTAAATGTTACAAAAAAATTGTTAATGTTGTGGATTCACTCTTGAACACACCGGTGGGCTAAAGTAGTGAACTATTTGTCTTTTGTCAACGTGACACATTTTTTACTGATTGGCCATGTCGGGTGGTGGAGGGTTGCGACACATTTATAAATAACGCGATCTAAACCCAAAAACCTTTATTTTATGAACGAACAACATCTCTGCGGGAGGCAGCCCCTGACCGCAGCCCCTGACCGCTATCTCTTGGTTGCATGTGCTGCCCAACACCCACACCAAACAGCAACTCCCAGCATTTACATGTCCAGGGTGATGATGGTATTTGTATAAACCTCAGCCTCTTCAGAGGGCATGTATATGAATGCTCTGTTACCATGACTACAACTTCAGCAAACATTTGTAATTCAAAAAATTAACTTTAAAACACGATTTCACAAGCGTTATATATAACTCTTGTGAAATATTGTTTTTATTTTGTAAATAAAATTAAGATATGTGGTTGTTTGTATTTAACTTCAAAAAACGATAGTGAACAACATGGCGCAGAGCAAAGTACAGCGTGTGTTTATGGTAAAAAACATGGCAACAGCAGATGCTGGAGGCGACCATCTTTAGGGGCGGCCCGTCCATATAGGTTAACGAGGCGGTCACCTTCGGCACCAAGTTAAGTGGGGCGCCAAAATCGAGGAAAAAAATACAAGTAAAAAACAAAGATGTCATTATATCAATTCCCGTGTTCATACAGAGGATATATGAATTATAATTAATTTCTCAACATATCTGAGAATGTATTTGTTGGACAGACGCACGGACAATCCGACTAATTATGCCTCTGTTTTAAAAAATACGCTTAAAAAACATTAAATGGAAAATAGGGGCAAGATTTTCCCAGTTTACCAAAAACCTCAGCCTAGATCAGCCGTTGTGGTTTGGGGTTGGGGGCGCTGGTTGCATGGTTCGGGCACCAGTTGCTGGCAGCTAGTCGAGGGCTACCTCTGCCCATATTGATGATGTGCTTGCATAATATTAAAACTCACAAACTTCTCATGTATTATAAACTATAATTCCGGGTTGTACGTGTATTGTTTTCGGAAATACGTGTAATAAAAACTAGAACGTCTTTTCTTCTGATAACCCTTTTCAAGTCACAACACATGACGCATGGTGTGTACTCTCAAATCTTAAGTTTTCAAGGGCTTCCTGTTCCAGACGGCAAACGAAGTGTCACGCTTAAAATGTGTACCCCTAGCCCTCGTGTTGTATTATCCACTTAAAAGTTAGCTTGGGTACTTGTGAATTCTTCCTGCCTTGACTTTGTTACTATGTAAAGTGATGTATTCTTTCATCTACTCATTAATGGACTAACAATGAGTAACAGCTTCAAGTATGTGGGAAAAAAACATACGGGTCTCCTAACTCATGTGTAAATGCAATCCCTTTCACAGACAACCTCGTGACTAACCACAAGACTGACCCAAAGTATCCGCCCAACAGTGCGACCTCCATACCCCTCTGTGCTCTCCTTTTGTGAGCCAGCAAAAGCACACAGTGCGGTTCAAGAAACTGTGTTTGGCTTGATGGATGTTAACCCACTGTGTTTATTGCATAACCTGTTTTCTTTACTCAAAGAGCACCTGAGACAAACATGTGGTGTAAACTGACCTATGACCAATACACCATTACCATTAATGTTGTGACAATGTTTTCATGGACCGGGGGGGGGGGGGGGTCATCATTGGGTCTTTCCCCCTTTTCAAAGAAGCTCTCCAGCGACGTTTGTTTTTTACTCATTGTGGCTAGGGTTATATCTTGTGGGCTTACCAAAACTGTGACTGAGACAAGTACGCAGCAGTGCGGTAAAGAGGCGCGGACGGAAGTGGTAAATAATAAAACAACGGGGGCGGGTCCCCCGCGCGGACCCGCCGCCCTCACCTCGTGCTGCTGTGCGGCCCGGTTCCTAACTGCCCGCGGGCCGGGACCGGTGCGTGGCCCAGGGGTTGGGGACCCCGAGTCTAGAAAACCAAATAAGCTTATTCCGTGCTTATTGTACCTTCATGTTATAGGGAAACTCTTCTCTTCCATGTCTCTGTTAACTGCTACTCCTATTATCCACATATTGATTATTTATATTATCCATGTTTATCTATACTGTATATATAAAAGGGAAATTTGTGAATATGTGTGTCTGTTCAAAATATTTAGCGTACTTCCCGACATGCAACAAACTTGAAATTTGCCATGTGGGTACTTTCCAGACTGTACACCATGCAAACATTTTTAAAATAGACTTTTGTATATTTTTTGGGGGGAGGGGGGGCGCAATAATGCATATATTTTGCACGGAAAGTGAGCTGTGATGTCACATCCGTCATGTGACCCGTATGCGGAAGCGTAACGGAGTGTGCCTGCTGATGTCACCCCTCCCCCCAACCCTCCGCGAGTAAAGTGAAACACAAATGTGTTGCAGGTCTAAGGCGTTCTTCGCGCAGCATTGCTGCTTTATTATTTCAGTCGTTTACTGCCGTACGCACCCTGAAAGTTGTGTGTCTGCAGCAAGCGCGTGTCTGTGTACCTATGGACGCGCGCACGCGTTTGTGTGGGGGGGGAGCGGTGGTGTAGTGGTTAGCGCGCTGCGCTACGAACGCGGCGACCCGAGTTCGATTCCCGCTCACGGCCACCAATGGTGACGATTATGTGAACCGGTCCTGGGCCTCCCATAGGTCGACTCAGCATCAAATGAGTAACTGGTGTGCTGTGTGAACATCACCACTGGGGGGACAAAGACGGCCGGGCGTGGTGCTGGCCACCCACCCCCTCGTGTGCCGTGCCGGCCTTCATAGGTGCTTGCTAACAGCACTTGCCCCCTAGTCTCACAGGCTACACGGGGGATCTTTGTCTTTATCCTGTGTGTGTGGGGGGGGGCAGCGATTGCGCAGCGATTGCGCAGCGATTGCGTAGCGATTCGCGCGCTGCGCTACGAACCCACTCACGGCCACCACCGGTGACGATTATTTGAACCGGTCCTGGGCCTCCCCTAGGTCGACTCAGCCTCAAACGAGTAACTGGTGTTGGTGTGTGAACATCGCCACTGGGGAGACAAAGGCGGCCGGGCGTGGTGAATCCAAGTCCCGGGCGAACCCGGGTAGTAAAGCTAGTATGTGGATAAAAGGAAGTCAACCAAAACGGTGGGCCATATGCATCCTATTATTCGCAGGTTAGAGGAATCACGTGGATGTGGCAGCTGCTTGCGCCAAATTCATGGTGGAGAGGGGAGGATGGTGGTGCTGACGATGGTGGTGACAGTGACGGCCATAATGATGGTAATGATGATGTCATTGCGTCTACTGCTAAAGCTGGTGGTGCCGATGATGAAGATGGATCGCCGACAGCTGCACAGGCACAATCTGCAACATCCACAATGACGGATGCTGTTGCTTTTCTGCAGAGGAGTTGTGCGGAAAGTTCGTTACTATTTGCACTCATCACCTGGAAGTGATATCCTAGCAGTGCCAAATAAAAAAAGTTATTTACATGGACAAATGCGAATAACAGGATCCATCACTTGCAACCCTCATATGTACTCAGACAAGAAGACTGCCATCAAAATCTACATTTCTATGGCAGGGGCCAACCAGATAAAACAGGAATCAAGTCAGCCCTATCAAGGAGTTCAACGCGCGGCCTTTCTGTTGCCAGTTGAGCACTCTACATACATTGCAACCCAGCATCACCCAGACGAGGATGAATCTGGACAGGAGGCATTTCCAATTAAGGATATGAGCAACTCGAGTTCCAATTAATGTGAGCATTACACTTACCACGTGTCTTCCTCCACCACGTCCGTCCTTTGCAGGTCCAGCATGACCACATCGTCCAGAGTATCAGCAGTAGCTGCAGCATCATTTTGAGCACCACTCTGCGCCGTCGGTGAGCCACTCGGCATGACACCACCATTACATCGCGCCTGGTTCCCCACTGTGTGTACTTCCCCGGCACGGTGCGGCGCGTCAGTGTCGCTCCGCTTCTTGTCGGATTTGGCGCTGTGTCTCCCGGCGGCACCGGCGTGCGCCTCCCCAACGCTGTGCGGTGCCGCTGCTGCGCCGGATCCTCGGCGTCTCAGCTCGGCGTTTTGGGTCTCCAGGTGGCTGACGAGTTTGCGCAACCTCGCCATCTCTTGCGTGAACTCGGCTGAAATTTCCCCATTCTCGCCCATAGCCCTTTGAGAGCACGTTGGAGTGACCAATGGTTCACTCGCGACTTTACCTGGAATGACAGAGCGATGGCACACGACCACACACGGTAGAGAATAATATCAAAAGGTTCTACAGCTAGCACATACAATAAAAACATCTATACATTATACCAGATTTTTGTGGACATGTGAGGTCTGATTGATCGAGGTATTGTATTACTATTATCGTGTAGGACATATTCGGCAAACAATTAACTTTATTTGGAGGGACCTAATTGGGAAACAGCAGAATGTATGTTTTTATATCAACTGAAGAGACGAATGAGAGCAAAATGGAGACATAGTTGAATATTTCTGTAACATTTATGTAAACAAGATGTCTTGATGCTATCAATGTCACATGATCACATGAATTCAAATAGATTCAAATTGAAGTGATTCCACGCGATGCCAATTTTGGCTGGAAAAGCTTGGATGTGACGTAATTTACTGTAACGTTATATTTTTCAGAATACACGTTTAACATTTTTTTTTACTGAAATGTTATGCATTCGATCATCGATTATCCAGCGGCTTCGGATAGGTGGGGGCGACGGATATTCAATAATTCCAGATAATCACTAATCATCATTAGTTAAAATAGCTTATTTTTGCACATTCTTGTATGACATTATGTTTTTAGATGTTGTTATGTCTTTTTTGTTTTACATTTGTTTACTTTGTGAAATGGTCATAAATAAACAAAGAGATAGACAAAAATAAATATCCTACTTCAAAAATTTACTGTATTTACGGTACCGTACAGTCTCGAGGACTCTGAATGGGGTGATGTATACAATGCAGTATTTCCATTGTTTAGGTTATAGTATATAGTGTATAATGTACTGTATATAATATTTGACACTGAAGTCAAGCAGAGCTATTATTTTTGTCACGCGCATGGTGCCGATCACTGGACTGGTGACATGCCGGATCGCCCCAGGACTGCCAGATCACATTGGAAGCCAGATCGATGATCTACTGACTCTATTTAGGCCAGATTTTTTTTTCAGATTTATTCCAAAACATCACGAACACATCAAATAAAACTACACCATTAAATTTGATTATGACTGTGTATACGACATTTGATTATTCGTGAGTAGGTCTATGCAAGTTATATTTAAGCATGTTTGTATGGGTAGAGTATGTGTGCCCTGTGTCACATGTTTCAATGTGAGAGAGAGCAAAGCGAGTGGACTTAAACCGTGGAGACGTTTCGCAGGAGTTTAATAGTTAATTACCCCCCCCCCCCTTTTAAGTAAAATCACCGACGCGCTCGTGATTACTGTAATTCGAATGTACTTTTGCCGCACCTGCCATAGCTACAGTAGCAGGTGTGGTAATGACTAAGCTGGTGTTTTAAACCACACCTGTAACCACGGGCTTGCCGCGATAACAAGAAAAAACAAAAATACTTTATGCAGGGAGCCCATGCTGCCATTAAACCCAGCTAATGTGACAACAACAACAACACCAGGTCTGTATCTTCTTGTTTAGACGAGCGAAGGGTGGAAACTCCATATCCCCACAGCGATGAACAACAGCCACTGCACAGGACGACCACTGCTGACTTAGCACGAAGTGGTCACCGAAGTTATTCACCCGGAAGAGGTGACAGGTCGTGTTGATCAATGATGGTCTCGGATGCAGTTTGAAGCTACAGGCAACATCAGCGCTCGCAAACTCAACAGGGCCACACGGGGCCAGCGCTCATCTGCGTCGACGGTCCAGCACGGGCGATGACAACATTCCACATTCTCATGACGGGAGGCAGTCGGTTTAGCAGGCCGCGTATTCCGACACACATGTGAAGGCGCACGGAGACCCGGCATCTTTAGCGAAGTCTATCACCTTGACGTTAAGATTTGTCAGGGATCGCTCATACAAACACACTGACAGCCGCCAATCGCCACGAAGTGAATATGACGTTACCACAAGTGGTTGTGCCAGACTAGGTGCACATTGAGGCCTTGAAGTGTGTGTGGGGGGGGGGGGGGCTCGCTGCTGGCAGGTCGAGGGGAAGAAAAAGAAACTCAAGATGTCACGAGTTAAGCTGGGATGACGGACAGAGAGAGACCCACCACCATCAACCACCATCAACCACCTTGCTCTGCCCACGACTCTGGGCACGCAGCGGCAGCTGTGGTAGCGGCAGCAGCGGCTGTGGCAGCGGCAGCAGCTGTGGTGGTGGCGGCAGCAGCAGCAGCTGTGGTGGTGGTGGCGGCAGCAGCAGCAGCAGTTGTGGTGGCGGCGGCAGCAGCAGCAGCAGCTGTGGTGGTGGTGGCAGCAGCAGCAGCAGCAGCTGTGGTGGCGGCGGCAGCAGCAGCAGCCGCCACCTGCAGCGGGCGAGTCGGAGTTGCACGGAGCGGGTGGCGGGTCGCGTTCACTCGCTCACCACTCAGCCGCTCACCGCTCACCACCACGTCGCTCACCGCTCGTCCACCACTCACCCACTCGCCACTCACCCACTCACCACCACTCACCGCTCGCCACTACTCACCCAATCGCCACCACTCGTCCACCACTCACCCACTCGCCACTCACCCACTCACCACCACTCACCGCTCGCCACTACTCACCCAATCGCCACCACTCGTCCACCACTCACCCACTCGCCACTCACCCACTCACCACCACTCACCGCTCGCCACTACTCACCCAATCGCCACCACTCGTCCACCACTCACCCACTCACCGCTCACCACTCACCACCGCTCACCTGCGCACGGCGACTGAAGCCCCGCCCCCTCCCCCCCCGAGTGTTTGTGCCGGCTGACGTCACCGCCGCGCGCCTGGAGACTGCGCGTGGTGCGCGGTGGAAGCGACCTGCACCGCTGGGCCGAGCCCAACAACAACAACAACAATCAACAACAACAATCAACAACCACCAGCACCACGTCAACAACTTGGTCCAGCCAACGGCGTGGTGGCCCTTCGCGTGAGATCGCAGTGCTCTCGACGTTTCGAGCAATGTGGGCCTTCAGAGCACGTAGTGTTGTATTGCGAGGAGGGGGACATTGCCAACATGGATGTGCGTGCGCTATGAAGAAGACCCATTGCCCAGAACGTCGCCCGTGCTATCGTGTTCCTTCTGGCCACAGTATTGCTATTGACGAATGTAATGAGGGTTTCGTTATTTGTGCACTGCCACCGCAGCAGCAGTCACCAAATAACGCCCAGGGACTACGACCACCACGGCAGGGTGCGCCGGGTGAGAATGCACCGAATACGTCGAGGACGCGTGCGAGTTGCAGATCCACTGCTGGATGGAGGCGTCCCCACGACTCTTCCCGCATGGAGGATGAGTCGCTCTTCTGCTGTGGGGGGGGGGGGGGGGGGGGCGTCACAGCGGTTCGCGTTGATTGGGCCAAAGGTTTCCATTTGGGGATGCGGGGAGGGCCCACGGGACCCACCTCCCCTTCGCCGGGCTCTGCCACGGCGCGTCGGTCATGGTGAAGTTCCTCCACCGTACATTTTGCTTTGGCCGTGGCGTATCATGGTAAAAAAACATTCTGTACTGTACTGTTACCTGTGAAAAGGAGACTTGGGCAGGTGAAACTTGAACTGCTTTATTCCATTGTCACCGCTTAGGGGCCGTCCATAAATGACGTCACGCACCTAGGGGGGGGGGGGGGGTGAGAAATGTTACGTCACATCAAAATGCGCAACTTTAATTAAATATAGACAACACGTTCTACTTAATTAAATATACTTTTTAATAAATGTTTACTCCTACAGCATCAGAGTGCAGCGGCATTAAAAACGCACTACAATGGCAATAGTTTAAAGCTATTTGAAGCATGTTTTATTTGGGGGGGGGGGGGGGCAGAGCTTTGTGACGTCATATTTGACTTTTTGTGACGCTGTGTGACGAGGGAGGGGGGGGTCAAAAATCGCATGACGTCATTTATGGACGGCCCCTTATACACCACAGCAACACTCATCATCCAAACCAACCACATCACACGTTTTACAGTCCCTTATAAACCCCTACTTCACCTTCCTTTCCCGCTCTCCGACCCAATCCGATCAGAGTGTCAACCACTCACCCATCGGATTGGGTGTCATGCACGTCAGCGCATGCTAACCCCTGCGACCGAACCTACCAACACCGATGTCCTGGCCGTGGCTGCCACTACCCTTCTCGCTAGCCGACGCTACTTAGTGACCGTGTCTGGGCATGGGAACTAGTGATGTGCCTCCCGAAAAATGAGATGCGTGAAGGAGTGAACATGGGGTGGATTTTTCCGGCCGGGTGTCTGAGGTGTGCGCACTCGCCTGAGTTGGGGCGGCTGCTGGTGAAGCTCGGCGAGTCTGGCTGGTCGTCCCAGCCGCCACCATCCTGCTGCGGCATCCACGAGCGATGTGGCCCTCACGACCACACGATGACAGATGACTTTGCCCCTGCCCGGGAGTGTTGCTCTCGCCTCCTGAGGTGCCCAGCGTCGCGGTCGCTGCTCTGCTTCTCAAGACGTCCCTGAGAGTTGTGGCATGGCCGCCTCCACCTCTGTCCTGTAAGCCTCTGCCAAATGCATGTGCTCCCCCGGTGGCTCTGGCATCTCCATCATTTGGGGTTCCGCGTCATCGCCGAGATGTTCAGCGACGTTTGCTTCAATCGACGCGAGTCCTGCCATCTCCTCGTACGCCTTGAGATGCCGTGCGACTCAAAGCAAGGTGCCGGCTTCTACCCCACCAACGGCAGTACCACCCCTGCCTTTCGTGCCGTGATGAGGAGACACTCCACCACCAGCGAGTCCAGGACCAGCTCGTCAAGCTACGGGAATGCGGCTTCTGCCAGCAACAGCAGTTTGGTCATGAAGACCAGGAGCAATTTGGATGCGTTCCACTGCCGGTTCTGGAATTTTTGTCAAGCCCCAGACGGAGGGTCAAAAACCTCCGCCATCTCCTTGTATGATGCCTGTAGGGATCCCCTCTTTGAGTCAGCATTGAGTCATCCAATGCGGTGGGTAGTGCTGCCAGGGCCTCCTCCTCTGTCCACTTCAGTGCCCGGACCACTGTCTCAAAACGGCAAATGGAAGCGTGCCAATCTCCGGTTTTGGACGCGAACTTCTCCAACGCACCCAACTGGCGACGCCATCCTCATCCACATTTCCCGGGTCATCCCGTTTGGGGCGCACCTGGGTTTCTGATCCCGATTTGTCCTACTGCCCCTTGCCTGGCCAGCTGCCCTTTACTGTGACCCGGATTCTCCCGCTCTCCTTCTGCTGCTGTCAGCAGGGCCATGGAATGTGGGATAGGGCTTGCTCCACGGTCCCATGCGGGACACACTGTCCGCAGTGTCGATGGTGGTTCGTCCACTGCTGGCTGCTGCGGTGTCCCGGGTTGGGTGTCCCGGGTTGCACGAGGCTTCTGCCACCTTGCTGGGGTGGTGATGCAGCTTGAGGTCCCCGCAGTTGTCTCCCATCAGGCCCCAGCCGGCGAAGCAGCACTGATACTGCATCAAGTAGCTGATCCATCCTCCGATCTCTGGATGATGGTCTGCTGCGGTGGTGAGTCTGCCCCGCCGGGTTGGTGGACGAAGGTGCCCATGTCAGTTGGACTGCTGCCTTGGACTCTGTCGATGAGCCGGGAGATGAATCCCGACTCGGCGGGTCCGTTTCTGAGCAGTGCTCGTCCCGGGCGCCTAGAGTGTCTTCTGCATTTGTCTCCCCTCGTGGGAATTTGCGTCGGCTGGGTCGGGACATCCCACCGCTGCCACCAGATGAAAAGGAGACTTTGGCAGGAGCACTTTAACTGCTTTATGCCGTTGTCACCACTCATACACCACTTATCACCTTTCTTCAATTTCCCGCTCTTTCCTGATCCGCTCTCCAACCAAATCCGATCAGAGTATCAACCACTCACCCATCGGATTGGGTGTCGTGCACGTTAGTGCTCACACCCCAATCTCTATTCCCCACTCGAGCGTGCCATGTGTGTGATGTAAGTAACCCCTGACCTCCGACCTTTCCCTGGTGCATCCCCCGTGTACGTGATTGATGTGTGTGAGTGTGGAAGGTATGCGTGTTGTTTGTGTGGTGCGAGTGTGTGAGGATGGGTTAGACATCCTCTACACCTGTATATGTGTAGCGACATCGCTGGATGTCACTATGTGTGGCGGGCCTGGAAAAGGCACGCCATGCAATGTATTGACATCACGGACATCACTCAATGGGGATGCAGTACCGGCCCTAGCGGGGCTCGGGCAGCACTGACTGACAGTGAGTGATGGCACCACGCTCTACGTGCAGTGCCAGCCCCTACAGGATAGGGTGCGAGAGTGCCGGCCTCGGAACGGGGTTGCAGGGGGCCATGGCCCTCTGGTTGACCCTGGAGGACACGTGACCGGAGGTGTCTACCCGGGGACCCCAAAGGGGGGGGGGCTGGGGGTGATCACGTGTCAAGGTGGAGATCCTCCTCGAGGATTCCAGAAAGGGGTCGTGGCCAGGGGCGGAGCGAGCCCCGCCACGAGGATATAAGCGGGTTCCTCAGTGGGACCGGCTGTTGTTGTAATCCTGAAGACTCTACGTTCTATGCCCTACGTCCGGAAGACAAGATCAACACGGGGACCGGGACCCAAGCTGGGGTCCCGTCCATAGTAGCTCCTCCCTGTGCTGTTAGTGTAGCTAGCCTGATGGCCCACCACCATAGGTTGTTATCTGGTGAAGGGGCAGTTGCCCTTTCGTAAGTACGTGTAAATGTTAATAAACGTGTTGCCTCCAAAGTACAACTGAGTCTCCGTTTGAGCCCACTACATCTGCATGATTGTGCCCCGCCTCGTGGTATAATTGGTTTATATGGTAGTTAGACGACAGAGGAGAAAAAGACACGTGAATGATATATAATATAATGAGAGAAATGCAGGCGAAGGATAGAGATGTGAGATGAAAGAAAATAGTTATATATATTAAACTGATGTAATGAAGTGAGAGATGTAGACAAGATGTAAATATTGAGTTATAAGAGAGATGCAGACAAGATAGCGATGAGAGAGAAGAATTATCATTTGTGATGATTAGATTTTTATGTATATTAAGATTTTAATTTGAGCTGATACTGTATTTGGTTCATCCCTACGTTTTAATGGTTATCAAGCCCTTAACTAAGCATTGGCTTTGTTTGCTTCGACCGAGCGCCACCACTGGCTGAATAGCATCTTCATATATTCCACCCTGACCAGTCCTAGCACACTGTGGTCTTGCCTTAACGAGTCTGCTTCTAGAGCTATAGCCTCGCAGTCCTCGGAGGTTGTGCCTAGCGACTTTAGGGATCCTTAGCTTTCCTCTTTGGTTTTGATCAATTTCCTTGTTCAGTATTTTTCTGCTAATTTTCTCCAAACAGCCCGTGAATATCCATCCTGTAATTTTCATTGTCACATATCAAGACGTCTCCAGGAAGTGGCCCCTGTGGGTGATAGATGAACCCTGGGCTGTGTCCTGCCATTCTTGTGGGCATGTCTGCTGTTTGCCCGGCTCTTTCTGCTCTCTCTCTCTCTGATTGGATTTTGGGCTGTGTGGTGATTGTGAGTTTGTTGCCGCTTGGCCCAAATTATTCAGTTTTTACGAATTTGTTAAGTTTAGTTTGTATTTGTTGGTTCCCCTGCTTGGATGTGTTACCCCGTGCCTCCTGCCCCTTATCCTGCCGTTTCCCCTCATCTCTCAAGTCCCACGTGCCAATGTCTTGTGTTTCAGAGTGGCATTGTCAGGCCCTTATTGGAACCTCCGGGTCTGTTATCCATTCTCCCTGGGACTCCGTGTTGGTGCTGGGGTTCCCCAGTGCCTTCTGAGACTGAATTCTGGTGATACCAAGATTGGTCGCGGATTGTTGCCTTGACAACTCCTTGGCAGTCCTGATGTGTCTTGTGGAAACCTACATTGTTGGGAAACTAAATCGGTCCTTTGTGTACCTGGGGTCATGGTGTGTGGGTGCCGTGGTAGCGCCATGTCTTATTCCCCCCCGTGGCCTAGTTGGGCTGTGCTGGAACTATACCACTGTAGGGCTATTATAAAGGGGCTG